TGCGGTAGCGCTGGTTCGGTACGTATTGCTTTTTAAGTCAAACTAGTACGTCTAACACTAAGTTTAAGCAGCTATTCGTGGTAACGAATGTTTAATAAATATATATATATATAATATAATATAATGTAATTGATGATATAATGATATTATTACTATATTATTTAAATTAATATGTATTATTATAAAATATAAATCTATAAAAATAATAAGGTAATATGTAGTCAAAAGTTTGATAATTATATGACAATATCCTATAGGTGTATATCTTATATCTATAGACATGTAAAAATATTTAACATATTTATTTTCATAAACATTAGTAAATTGTTTAGAGTATAAAATTTATAAAAATACAATTTTATAGATTAAAAATTAAACAATTTTTCATAAGTTTATAACGTGCAGTATTTTTGTACCAATATTACATTATAAGCCAAAACATACCTGTACCTGTGCCACTAACACTAGTGTATTATTATGATTATCGCACTAATGCAGAAGTATCATCGCAGTATTAGCCGGTGATAATGTTCCCGTCCCCTTTCACGGCATGCAGGTGTTCGTCTCGACGTGCCTCTTGATTTGTCCCGCCGCCCGTCATACTCCAGCCTTTCATCGCGTCCGCATTTGAAGCCGCAGTGTGCCACCGTACACCCAAACAATGAAGTCCGTAATACCTACCCTGACCTTTACTGACATCAATTGGACAACACGACCGACCGGACGCCGTCAGCGGTCATCATTCATTTCTAGCTGGTGAACATCAACATCTCAAGCTTTTACCGTTTCTTTTTCTTTTGCTTTCCTCGTGAATGAACCTCAAACCGAAAGACAAAGTCTTTATTATTGTTTCATTTACGTCAGCACGTCAGCAACGAGGGCTTAAACACTACGCGAGGCCCGATGTGGGAAGCCGCCGTTCCATCCAGTGATTGACGCCAGGGACCATGTCATCCACGTGTAGGTGTGTCGCGTCACTGCTTTCAGCCTACCAACCGTCAATCAATCACATCAGCAACTCAGTCATCAGCATGGAGTCACGCACATGTGTAATACTCTCCGAAAATCCATGTTCTAAAACCTTATATATTATTCTACTCTAGCATATTATTTAATAGGCCTGTTTTTCTTTTTCTCGCTCATTTGATCCTGCCCATGATGTGCCGGAGGTAACCTGCGGCAATCGGCGAGGTAATAATAAAATATCATCTTTCACAATACCCGAACCTCGGTATGGCATCCGAAATCTTGTTTCTATATTATATTATTCTAATTATTGTCAGGATCCTCCTGGAATTATCTAAAAGTATGTTCCTTTATTATTAAACTTGTTATGTAATTCTGTGTGTGAGAGACCATCTAAAATTATTAATTCCATTATGTTAAACATTAAATTATACCCACGTGATCACCCTACTATTCTATTTCTCATATTTATTGATATTTTTTTCTTCTTTAAAATAAATCTTGACGTTCATTCGTCCTGTTTGTATCAAAGACCTGTGAGTTCCAACGACTTTGCTCTGGTCATCACTGCCGAGTTACGGTAAGGTCTGAGTAAAGTTTCCCTTTACTCATGGGTGGTTTATTGGGACCGTAAAAATCCCGTACTCTCACAAGTTCTTACGGAAACTAAAGAATCCAAAAAATATCTATTCATAGACATTTTTTAAGACATTTAGAGCAAAACTTTGGACGGAATTACAAAAAATATATTATGAAATATACGATTATTATAATATAATAGGCTGATAGATCGTCTCTGTTCAAAATCGTTTTGTGAATACAATAATATAATGATTTAACACATCAATTTATTACAGTAACACACTATCGACACTACACTGTGCAACAGCTGGGCAGTACCATACTTGCCCATCTGTTTTAACACATTAGATTTTAGTAGTTAATATGATAGAATTCAAGTTAAGTTTTAAGTTAAAATTTACCTTTTTATTTTTTTTTGATTCGTTAAAATTACCAATTAATTTTCACTAACTATTACTATTAAAGTTTTTAATTCTCTGTTGTATACTCACGGCACATCTGTAGGCTTGTCTATTAGCTCCAGATTCTTGTTTGGTTCGTGAATAATATTCGAATAGTGTATGTTCGTATAGCGATACATACTCCCAGCCCTTGCCCTTATCTTCCTCAATGAGCGGGCTGTTTTTTGATAAGCACTCAAACCTTAAGTGATCCATATCTGTCAAAGAAACATAACAGTACTAGTGTTATGTAATAACTAATAATATACACTAACAGTAACTTACAATTCTTCAAAAACAATACAAAAGCAATCTAATTTGATTATTATTTTAAACTACTTTTTCGTTCATTATTTAATTATTTTAATATATCAATAAAAAAAAAACACGATCCTACAAAGCAAAACCAGAATCTCGGAAAGTATCATAGTACTTTGAAGTATGTACTATCCGCATTTTTTTCAGTTTTTTTAAAGTTGCGTGAAAATATACATCACATTATTGTATGCCGACGTGATTTATCATCATATAAACTCGATGATCATATTATAGTTTGAAGAAGTTACTATAACTCGTATAAGGGAACAACGATACTGTTATAATGGCGTTGTTAAACACTTCACAAAATTATTGTGATATGATGTAGAAAAATAATCGTAGAAACATGAAGTACTTTAACATTTAGGTACTTAAATCATAATTGTTTATACAAAATACAATTTAAAGAATATTTAGACTATAATTATAAATTATTCATAAGCATTTTTAAACTTTTAGGTTTTTGTATTTATTTTTAAATTGTTAACAAAAAATTTTGCACCTGAGTCTATGATTACTTCAAATGCGATGACACGCGTATACATTTTCATCCGATAAGTATTAATTGTATTTTAATCTATGTAGAGATGCCCCCTAGGGTTATTAGGACGTTTTCTGAAGTTTGCCTATGACACGCTCGGGCATTTACGTAAATTAAAATACACAAAACACGTACGATTTGTATTCTATATGTAAGCGCGTAAAGTTGTTCATCTGGAAGTTAACCATATACACATCGTACGCGATAAATCATTTTATCGTACAATTACAGTTGTCGGTAATAATATAAAAAGTGATCGTGCGTGTAATTTGATATACTCGAAAAACATTTTATACACCAGTGATATATTTTATAAGTACGTGGTTTGCTCTTTCCCCTCCCAAAGTCTTATTGTTGCAATAATATTATTCGTTATAATGTATACGCACTATTTGTATCCCCATCGTCTTGCGAACGGCGCAGCATCAAATGAAACAATTGCGAAGGACTTATGGAAGCGTGACGTTCTATGTATGCGATTCCTCCTGTCCAAGTCCAATCAGCACCAACCACGGTAACGTTAAATTTATCCGTTAGTCCAAGTGGCGGACAGTACATGCCAATGATTCTTTTATGCATCACTGTAACACATTTACATACGTATAAGACAAGACAAACATCAAATTAAATATTACAATCACATAATATTATCCTATACTACGGCTTATTGGTGTACGAATAATTCCCATTATTGTGTATTATTGTAATAACGATGAATCGATGGCATATACTCGCACACGCCATTGTGCACGCCGAAAGACGGAAGAACGTCATTTCTAATCAATATGTCGGAAAGGGATCCGGTTTCCGGGTAAAGCAAATGCGTTCATAACACTTTACTGCGGTGTGTATAGCATAACTTTTTAATTTGTGACATATTTAGTCGATTGTAAACGGCACCCGAGTTTTTATCAAGTGTAAAAAGGTGACATGTAAACTGCGCCAAGATAAAATTTTATTTTGCAAAATTATTTTTAATTTATACTTAATTCATTACAACCATATAATATTGAATAATTTAAATTTAAATTAAATTAAGAATTTAAAAACAATATATGATTTTAAAAAGTAAAATTAAACATATTATTGTTACATATTCATCAATAATATTGGAGTTTGACCACTACTATATTTATTTTATTAATTACATTTTGTAACTTTTCACGGTTTTTTTTTTTAGAATATAATAGTTATTTGATAACGTGTTGGTATTTCTATACGAAAATTAAATTTCTAAGATATTATTGGAAAAATGCACAATCATAGAGACTTTAAATAAATTAAAAGTTTTGTATAGTTTACTAACGGGACACAGCTTAAATTGACGGGCGCGGTTTACATTACACCTTTTTAACGTAGATAAAATTCGAGCGCAGTTTACATTATACTTTTTTAACGTGGATAAAATTTCAGTCGCAATTTACAAAAAAAAAATAGTCATTTGGGTGCAGTTTACGTATGTCCCATATTTATACGGGCGATTCGGGCAATCAAACTCGTCGTCGCAACACCATTAAAAATTATTACCGCAGCATTAAACATAATCATTGTTAAAGCGTTAACAAGCAAAAACTGTACTCTCTAATATTAACTATTGTTTCTAATATATAATTAATGCGATGTATTTGCATATTTTTTATTGAACTTCATAATTTAAGTACTTTTATCATCAGCTGTACTTGGTATATAATCAATTAGAAACTCACAGACTCAACCGATTCTTATGCTCTTAGTTTCTGATGAAAACTTGAATATCCAAGTCTTATATCATTAAGAATTTATATTTTTAATATAATTTACAACGCGTTCGTGCCAGTAATGTTACCGACATTCATGTTGAAACGTAAAAGTATGATCGCTGTTTAAGTAATAACTGCCTATTTATGCGCCTTATATAGATTAATTATTACTGCCTACATGTTCGCTTTGTGTACTTTCTTTTTTAGATTAATAAAAACCCAATACTGCAGGTTTTACCCAAGGATTTAGCATCGCAACCTGTTCAGCTAAATCTAATACACACGATATCTACTGTGGTATATTGAATGTAAAAAAAAAAAAAATAAGAATCAACTTTGGTTCAGTTTAAATCTGTAGTTGAATTTCAGCTACACTGCAGTTCGACCCATTGAAAATAATATCTATAAATATTTATGCATACTTACTCTCTAATCTTTCATAATCTGTATAGATTTGCGTTTCTTTTAGTTGACTTCCGTTTTCGTTCTGGGAGGCTGCCACCTTGATGAAAATGACAGCAAGAAGCATTAATACACTTGTCGTGAACATTATTGCGTTGTTGTTTAAATTAACCAATGGAAACTAGACAGAATAAAATTAAAACGATTGCAACGAGACGTCAGCGAGAAAAGACTGTGATGCGCAAAAAAAATCGACTGTGGATTTTCGTGAATATCCGAAACAACAAATAGATTCTAAATGATAGCACGGTTGGTAGGTACACTGATGGTGAGCAACACTGTGTATGCCTTTTATAAGCCAAGGCGGGGTAGCAGGTGGTTTCCAAAACCAGTTGCGCGTGAAAAGTACTATTATATATGAAATAAAGATGCTGCATCGAACACAATATATCAGGGGCGGCCAAACAGTCGATCGCGATCGACCGGTCGATCGCAACGATTTTAAAGTCGATCGTGCTAGAATTTATTTTTAGGCTGCGCTCACGAAAATTAATTATGGTGGTATAGTAACTTAATAATAATAAAAACTTTTTTATCGAAGTCGATCCTCAAAGGTAAAGTATATTTTTAGTAGATCGCGGCCGAAAAAAGTTTGACCGTCCCTGCAATATATCATTTTATATTGCATTATAGTACGCGTAGACCATAGTGTTCATAATTCGTATAAGCAATACGCAGAGCAGAGCGCGGATTTCTATACAATCGCATACTTTTTTCGTTTTACTTTTATTTTATTTTTTATTTATTTTTTTTTAATTTTTATCAGTTATCTTCACACGAACCATAATATATGTAATTTAAATTTAATGGTGAAATTTTTTTTTCTATCTCTACATATTTAATGGTTATTGCATATTTCAACGAAATTCAAAATATGTTGCATATTAAAGAAAACATTTTTCATTAAATATTATTTAAATAATTAATTATTTTAAGTTGTTTAATTTGTGAATTTTAAATAAATAAAAATGTCAAATGTTTATAAATATTTTGAAAAATGTATCGTATATAATCAATAATAATATAAACATTTGCTGTACATTTCACGAATCTATACAATGATTCGTTATTAAGTCAAACTATAAAAACAAAATTGATTTTTTCAAATATTGGTTTAACTTAAAAATTCCCGCAATTTTTCATTTTTTTTTTCCGATCATTTTGAAATAACTATTTGAATTTTTCAATCCGATTCGAGGTAGAGTTCATCACTATAAGATTTTAATATAGATACCATTACGCTCGCAGAAATTTACACATTATAAGAGATGAACTGAATAAGATAGAATGAATAAGAATATGATGTAGGATAAATAAATGTTTAACATATATATATATATACTGTGTACGTGCACGTATATTTACACTTACGTGCACACGAAAAACAGAAAGTTAGGATGTTAGAGAGAAGAAGATACACAAAAACAAACATCGACGTTTCAACAAATCGGGTTGTTACGGGATAACAATAATTAATTAATGTTAGTTACTATATCTACACTTATTAACCCTTAACTACTATATTCCTCAGATCGATAAAGGTCACAAAGGAAGGTAAAACATTAGCCAATATTTTAATGAAGAATGTTTTGTAACTTTATACAGTATACACGCTCTAATAAATAATTGTATAATTATTTACTTTCCTCAAAATACGCAGAACGTTTGTTACGAATAATATTATTATGTTTTTATACGATAGGAACATCATAATATATAGTATAATTTTAATATTTAAAAAACTATATTAATTATTTACTGATAATTATTTTTCTGACATCTTTTTAAAACTATACCTATACATTATTTTTACTTACATTTTAACTGAAAAAAAAATGCAAAAAGCCACGGGCCAACCCAGGACAATTATGATTGTTTTTTTATGTCTCTGACTACGATATTGATACAGTTTAGGCACACAGTAATATTACTGTAAGTAGTAAGAACAAAAGCTAAAGAAGCTAAATATGCTTCGACGTCCGTAGCAAACAAATTTTACACAATGATTATATTTCGATGGTAATACATAATTATGTTGATTATAAGAGAAAGTTATAAAGTATATTACATATTGTTTTACAATAGTTTTGGTATACCAATGTTAGTGAAAAATATATTGTATAGTCTATAAGCTCTTGCAAACCAGGTAAGGAGCATGTGTACCACATATTTTCATAAAACATTTATTATGTTATGCACTTTTTTATTGCACCTACGATGAATTTTATGAAATTCTTGAGTACATCACCTCGATACCCTTACGAAAATCTGAAGGAAGGAAATAGTGTAATTTTAATATCTCTGTTTAATAGCCTAATATTATTCTTCAGCATATAAGACATGTAGGGAATAATCTCTCAGAACTAAAAGTTTCATTTTCTAGCTTTAGTTGCATTAACTAATTTCCTTTATTCTATTATTTTAACGTAATAACAGAATGTGTAATATAATAAAAAAAACATGTAGGTACATCACGCATACACACAATCGATGCACATACGTTTTGAAAGCATTAATCCCCGTTGACAGTAAGATTTCGACCCGAGTACACAAAAAGTCAATGGAAAATATTGAAAAAAATCGCAATACTAAATTATGATTATGACTCGTTTAAAGTTTAAACTTACAAAGAATAATATCAATTTTGTCTTATTTTATCACCTCCATATTTTATAATGATCGCTAAACATTAATATCACCCACACGAAAGTTTTCGACATTATCTAGGTACTATCGTTACTTGTGTGAATATTAAACAATAGATAATAATCGGTAAAAAAAGTGTTTTCATGATAAATAAAATAATTATTTAATAAATAACAATATTTGTATTTAGTAGGTACTTATGTAGCGGGACGCCTCGACTGATTATTACTATTATGGTTATTAGCCATGTTATGATATATATATTTAATAATCCAAGTGGCTCCGAGAGTGGCCAGATACTAGTCCTAGTAGGATTTATTGTATTTGTGTATATTGTGCGTTGAATAATATGAATTATGAGTATTTAAAATATATATTGTTTTTATTTTTAATTTATATGTCCTCTATCCTACAAAAAAAATAATTTAATAATTTTTATTTAAAAGTAAACTCGATATATAACGATACCATAATTTTTAGAATACACGTTGATCAAAGTATAATTTATTTTAAAAATGTGGTCGTAGTACCATTCAATTTTAATTAGCAATGCATTTATTACTGCAGTTCATAAAATACTTCTTACGTAGTTTATCCTTATATATTTGGTGGTTACCTATATATAATATAATAAAATACCTTAATACATTAATACTAATAACTTTTTTTTACGTTTGCAAGCAAAATTGACTTTTAGATTACTCTTGTTAATACAATACGAGTGTAATCACATTACAACAAAAATAATTTTATTTTTTGTTTTCTCATAAAGACGGATAACAAGAATACTTATAATAATCTTTAGGTGTTGCTTAATATTTTCTCTCCCGCGATGACCATATATTCATACAATACTACGGGCGAGACTGTTTTCGACCAAAAATGTACCCTTCCCTTTTCGGCCAAAACAAAATTTTATGTAATGTATGTAAAAAATAAAATAATTAGTATATATTTTTTGTAAAATTAGGGTAATTGAATAATTATATAATTTTAAAAATGGTTTAATGTATAAGTTTATAATTATGTCAATATGTCACAAACCTATTTACGTGATTTAAATTTTATATAATATACATATTACATATACTGTGACATATTAACATAAAAATAATGTTCATATATAGATATTCTTATATTTTAAATAATTTGCTACATTTTATTTTACAACATTTTATACTTTTAATCATTTTCAAAATTATATAATTATATAATTATATAATTGCCCTAATTTTACAAAAATGATATACCAATTATTTTATTTTTTTACATATATTATATAAAATTTTGTTTTGGTCGAAAAGCAAATCGACCAATTTTAAATTTGGTCAAAAAGTGAATCGGTTTGGTTATTTTAATTGTAAACTATAGTATTATTATTTTTTAAACTGTTTTAATAATTATGAGTGTTTCGTTTTAGTTTATTTCTTTAACAATGTTAAAGAAATTTTTCTTCTCAAAGAATAAGTACGGAATATAATCGTATTATAACAGCGGTTCCCAACCTTTTTTTCCTTCTGTACCCCTAAGCTTAATATTTTCTAGATTGTACCCTCTTTATATTTTTAAAAATTTTCACATAACCACTCTTAAACATTTAATTAAAAATAACAATAATATAATATAATGTAATAATTGTATATATTTTTATATTGAGTAATAAGACACATAAAAAAATTACTTATTTTACTTATTTAATAAACAAAATTGAAATGAAAATAATTAGTGAGATCCTTGACTTTTTAAATTACATAATTTTTAATATCAGGTTCAAATGATGCGAGATATAATCTTAAATCTGAGCTGCGTTTAGTTTATTTCTATACTTATTTTAATAAAGATATATGAAGAAAACTCTTTCGACCAACTCCGTACTAGTAAATGGCAAAGCAATACGTAACTGAACGAAGTACAACAAT